TTATTATTATCATCATCATCATCATCATCATCATCATCATCATCATCATCATCATCATCATCATCATCATCATATTCATATATATTTACAAAACAGATAACAAAAGTGGGGGCTGAAGAGTCACCATCCTTACAAATTCCTGATGCACTTAAAGTCTAGTCCAGTGATTTTGCTGTCATCCTTACCGGCTACACGCCTTCTGTCTGTGATGAATATTCATGACAAAGTCAGTCTGGTTTCCAATGGAGATTGTAAACACACTGGGAAAGCCCAGGCTCTGAGGGTGTTTTGTTTCAACTGCGGGAGCAAAACAAAGGTACTGTCTTCCAGAAAATACTCCCTGTAGTACTATCTATAACAACAGTCTCTAGTTACATGTTAAGGGAGCATTCTGGGGATCCCTGAAGCAATGTGGGTATTAGAAAGCATGCATCTGTGTGTCTTATATTTCAAGGACAGAAGGGTAAAGCTTATGACAAAATGCTGATGGTTTGAGCCTTCGAGTGGCAAGCACTTTGGCTTGGAAAAAAGAAAAGCTGTTTTTATTAATATTAACCTGGCTTCCACGCCTTCTACAAACCCATCTATGTAACAAAATCTTGTTGGGCCTTCCAGTAAGCGCGTGGATCCAAAATGCACAGAAAACCTGAGCATCGCATCACGGTCTTGCCAGAGATATTGTCTCTGGGCTCTCTCTACAGTTTTCTCTTTCTTTTGCTCATTTGATGAAAATGCCTAAGAAAAAATGCTGGGCAAGACCATGATGAATGTTTAGGATCTGGCTCACCTCGGCCCAAACGTCCCTGTGGCGTGTGACCCCAATATTGTGCAGTAGAGAAGGTGGACAGAGGATGGGGAGCAGAGGAAATGAACTCAGGAGAACTACGTCAGCGGGGTACCGGCCTTCAGTTACGAGCCCTTTGGGGGATTTAGCTTCATCCTCATCTCCTTCACTGGACAGCAACCAGTCTGGAAGGACCTTCTTTGCTACCACAACACTGAGCTCAGTGAAACCCTCAAGCAAAATCCGGGAAGAGGAGCAAGAAGCTCTGAAGCAGGATCAGGTCCGACAGGACAAGGTGTGGAGAGAATTTGTGGAAGCAGAACGAAGGGCAACCAAATATTGGTAAGTGGCTCAATATCATTCTTTACTTGTGTGCTTCAGCCTCAAATACAAGTCTGCTCAGATCTGACTCTGAGCCGTCTGTGAAAGGCTTAGTTACTGTGTATGCCACTGTTATCTCCGTACTGCTGCATTTGACTCTAGTCTTGTTTCTTCAAATGCTACATCTTTGCTGCATAAAAATGATCCTCATGTAAGAAAATGCACAGGAGAGGCCAGGGGCACAACAGTGCGTTGATTTGGCCCCAAAAGAATTCCATCTCCCCAACAGAAAGATGAACAACCTCTTTCCACTTACATTCTGAACACCTGGGAGGGTGAGGAGCATCTTTTATAGTAGTATGTTCACAGCTGGTTCAGCAAAGTATTTCAGTTTCACATCTGTTGCTAAATTAGATAAGGCATTTCAAAAACTAAGGAGCATTCACTGAAAAAAAAACACCTCTTGTTTTACACCCTTGGAAGAACTGTTGTCACTAGGGATGGGTGAGGATCTGATTCCTTTTCTTTTCCAATAAAAGCTTTCCAGAATCCACACACTTTTTCGTAGATCGAACATGACATTCTTGAACTTTTTAAAGAAAGCAAAATGGACAGAGTAAGCCGTGCAGACAGAGGTTTTTCGGTGCTTAGCTCTCACTGACTGCATTTAATCAGTGCTGAACTGCGGTTACCCTCCTGTATTTTCTGCATCCTAGCTACAATGGCAGGAACTATGATTCTGTCCATGTTAGAAAGCTATGCCTGTAGACTTTGGCCAATGGAGAGGGTTGAGGATTTTGTTGCATTGGCTTTTGACAAAGACATTTGAAAACTATCAAGTTTCTTCTTAAATCTGTCATAAACTGAGATTTTTTAAAAAAAAAACTGACTGCAAGAGAAAGTGAGACTAAAAGATTTGTTCATCCTTACCTACAGCTACCAAAATGATATTCTAGTGGTACTTCTAAATAAAATACGAGTCCCATTCAGGCGCCAGAGCATCTGGATTCATCACAACACTTAGAAGGGAATGCCTCACTCTGGCCTCTGACACAGCTTTCTTAATGAGATCAACCACGAGTCTGAAGGGGAGAAATCCCTGCTTACAGGTGGGCTGTACATGTGAGAGAGAAACCAGGTGTTCCATATATAGAGCAGAAACAGGCCTACATAAGATAAGAAGTTTATTTACGGTCCTTAGACTAGTCACGTAAGTATAAAACCTTATAAAACATTAGAATTTTTAACTTTCAGTATTCCATTAAAACGTTGGCATACACACAACTATTTGGTATTTGGTATTTGACTTCCGCAATCTAAGTATTGCAACACAGAACCTCGCAACCCGACAGGTGATCTGCACATCGACATCTGAGAGAAGGAACTCAAGCCTATTTCCCTCCGAACGTCCTGGGAATCTATCAATTAAGGGGGTTATAGTCTCTTTTCGCACTGCTTCATACAATGGGCAGGTGAAGAATATATGCTGTATGGTCTCGATCTCCCTCAGGTGGCAGGAGCATAACCTTTCAACAAAAGGGGTATTTTATACTTCCCTTCTAGTACAGCAGAGGGAAAGGCTAAACGCCTTGCCAAAGTAAAGGCTCTTCTAGTTCCTTTAATTTCCGAAGACGTTAAATATTTGGCTGGTTCCATACAGTTTTTGATGTAAGTCCTTACTGCCATGTTTTGAATGCTAGAAAGGTCTGTTTGATATTCATTGTCCTCTATTCTTTGCTTAACTATTTGTTTTGCCTGCTCTATTCCAGAACATATAATATCAAGGAAAATAGGCCTTTGGGGTTTAGCTGTCCCTTTAGCCACACATATATAGATTGAATCCTAATTCAGGCTTCTACTTTAAGGCATCCTGCTTCTAGCCTTATCCTTGCATTTGACACACATCTGGGGACCTGGAGTATTGTTCTTAAAAATTTATATTGAACTATTTCTTGTGATGCAAAGTGAGAGCTAGGTGGCCCCATGAATGAGCCATACAGCAGCTGAGCTAGAGCCTTTGCTTTATAGAATTTGAGGGCTGCTGGTATAAAGGACCCTCCTTGGGAGAGATGGAATTTTACTATACTATTTGCCAATCTTTCTCCCTGATCTGCCACAAATTTACTATGCTGAAGCCTAGATCCTGAGGCCTGTAGTACTACCCCCAGATATTTGAAGCTGTTCACCTGCTGGATACTGTGCCCATTTATTTGCTATGACCGAATCTTGGGTCTCTGTCCAAAGGCGACTATCTTGGTCTTCTGATAGTTGATAGTTAGGGATTTATATTCACAGTATGAGGCAAGCTTCTTAAGTGCCCTCCTCAGCCCTATGGGGGTTCTGGATAGAATTACTGTATCATCAGCATAGAGTAAAGCTGGCACTGTTCTATCTACTGTACAAGTTTAGGAGAATGGAGATCAGCGGTGGTAAGCCAGCTTGATAAATCATTTATGTAAAAGATGAATAATGCTGGTGCCACATGTGTGAGCAAGAGCTTCAGATTCATCATTTATCATATGAGAAAAATGATGGCTGAAGAAGTGGGATTAGATGCACTTTCTAAATATATTGATGAACCTGGATGAAGTATAGTTTTTTTTTACCTGCAATGCAGCACATATGCACAACTCTAATACAGCTCAAAAGAAAAATTCACCTCCTCCACAGAGCCAAGGAAGTGTTTAATTTGCCAATATGCCAAAATAGCTATCTCCTTAAGCCACTTCACAATACCGTATTGACAAATTGACAGTGGGCCAAACTGGGTTGTTTGAGGTCCATGCGTCATTTGGATGTGAGGACACCAAATGACATACCAGGCCTCCTAGTGACCCTATATAGCCTCACCCAGCCCACTCCAAAACAAAACTGTAAACAAACCCTTTGACTGTTAGAAGCCCAGGTTTTTTCCTCTTAGATGCAAATGTGTATTTGCATGCATAGATCATCCCCATGTGTAAACCTGGCCATGATAATTAACTCCTCCAACTCAAATCACCATTTTGCACCTGGCTTCACCCACTCTACACTCTGCCCTGAAGATAGACTGCATCTGGTTTTTGATTAATGCATCTTTTCTATCAAGGCACAAGCTTTATGCATCCATATTCGAAGAATCATTTTTAATTCATGCGGTGGTATGGTGTAACCCTACAATCTTGGCATGCACTCTTTATGCACTGAATATGCACCCTGGAACATGCTTTAAAAATCAGAATCCCCTGCCATGCACAGACACTCAATGGTAAAGAAACTGATGTGGAAGTTATGTAGTTTCTTAAATATGCCAGGTTTAAAAATCGTTGACCTCCAGACATATTGAGGATAGGGTTACAAAGAAACCCAAAAGTTATTAATTCCATATACAGCATATTGCAGGATGCACCCACAAATACATACACAGCACAATCATTCACATGTTTCTCAAAAGCCCCACTGTGTTAATCCCAGGTAAATTTCCATAGATTACAGTTTCACATCACTGTTAACATACAGACACACATTGTGCGAAAGTACAAAGGTGATGGGAAGTACTGTTCAGCACTGTGAATCTCTGATCCTTGGAAACAGCTGAGATGGAAGTGAGATTGTTCTTCCAAATATTATTGGTACTTCAATCCTTTAAAATCACAGGTGTTTCCAAATCGGCATGCAGTCGCCCATCTCTGCTTATGATACCAGGGGTGAACAAAGACAGCCCTTCCTTCAAGAAGCTTTTGGAGAGAATCCACCATAAAGTCATGACTTAAAAAAAAACTGGTGAGCCTTTTAATGGCCACTCTAATTTCTGTATGTTTGGCAGAATTATACTTGGTTAACTAAACTAACACAAGCTTTGCTTTAAAATTAAAGGTATCAGAACTGGAGTTTCCTGAAGGACTACGACCCACTGGTAAGTCAAAATGTAACAAATCTGCCATTACCTGTTATCATTCCATTGGACTTTAAATTAAGGGCAAAACATACATTACAGTGAATGGTTGAAATCCTGTTGGCATAACCACACCTGCCAAAAGCTAATAATATTACCAGTGGGGAGATTTTTAGTAATTAAACACTTCCTACTTCTGTTCTGCAGCTTTTCAAATTCCCGTCTAATCCCTTTCATCATGTGGAAGCTGCATATTAGCTTGCTTATGTCTGGTGCCAGATTTATCCAGAGATAAAGACCGGCTCTATTTCTGAGTTAAACTGACTGTGCCAAACATGGCAAATCTCAAGGCTTGTATCTTTGGAAGGAAACTTGTTTGGTCACCTTTTGATTGCAAAGCTGGTTTCTTGTCTATTTTGGTCCTGAGATTTTTAAACATCACCTGTGCAAAGGCCCTGACTCGGTCTATTCATTCATTCATTCATTCATTCATTCATTCATTCATTCATTCATTCATTCATTCATTTCTTCCAATAAGGGGCCTCAAGGTGGTTCACAGTATTAAAAAGAGCAGAATAAAAAATCACAGTGTTATACATGTTAAAAACCAACCATTCAACTATAAAACTGATTCAGATACGTTGAATACAGTATGTCAATTTAAAAAAAAACATGTAAATTGTTAAAGACAGACTATAGTGGGAACCAAGCATTAAAACCTTTTTATGCCTTTTCTAGAGTTCTGATTCAGAGTAGACCCCCCTATATTAGTAATGAGGAGAGAGGGGAGGGAAACTTGCATTTAGGGGCAGAACTATACAATGGAAGTGTGATGTAGTTTGCCCCTAAGCATAAGCCATTGTCTTGCAGAAAGCGGAGGGTGGTATGATTAAGATATTGTTGTTTCCAGTCCAGACATTCATTTTCCCCTTTGTCCAACAATACACCCACATAGTGGGTATGGGGAAGATGATGTGATCCTGAGCTTTGGAGATGCTTTGCCTTTAAAGACCAGCATGTCCGAAGGAGATCCTCAGTATTTTCCAGGCTCAGGAGAAAGGCAGGGCATCTTAGCAGAATTTTAAAATGCTTTTGTAAGTGAGGAACTGGCAACTGCAATTATGACTCCCTGGTTGGATAACTAAAAAGCATGGAATACCTATTTGGTCACAAACTATAACAAGACAGAAACAAATACAGTATGTGGCTGCAGGCGTTAACACTGCCACCGCTGTGGCTCTGAAGGACAAACACAAACAAAGAAAAGGAGGCAATTACGCCTGCGAGTCTGGAAGTACCAAATGCCATTTATTGCTATGCCCAGATGGCATATGTTTTGAATCAATACTGGATAATTAATAACCAGGCACTGACAAATATTTGTAGAATAGTCTGGAGAAAAAACTGAACTTCACAGGGGATGTGACTAAATAAAAACAAATCATTATAGCTGAGTAAAGTCTGTTTTGGCATTCTTTGCAACTCTATTGAAGCTCTTTATTTTTAAAATGGGATATTATTGTTGTTGTTATCATTATTTCAGTTTCTATATTTTCCCCTTTCATAAACATTTTGTGCTTATCAGAAACGTTAACAGTTCAATTAAAACTCTGTTTGGGGCTGAAGATTCCTTCTTAAAAAAAACCAAACAAAATACAGTATATAACATGTATCATATTTGCCTTGAATTCATAACCATGAGATGGAGTGAGATGTGAAGATTGATCAGAATCTCATCCCAAAACAAGACAATATCATTGAGGACAGATCCATTAATGTCTGTTTATTGAAACTTCCATGTTCTGAGGCACTGTATCACTGATTCCCAGGTGCTTGGGCAAACAATAGTGGGTAGCAGCCGTAATTCTTATGAACATCCTAAAGATCACTCATTGGCCGTTGCTGGACACAGAATCCTGGATCTGGGAGATATTTGATTGGATCCGACTACAAAGTCACTCTGTCAATTCTGCCTTGACAGTTGATGAGTTGTCCCGATTTTAGCTGAGAAGGAATTGATTGATTGATGTAATCGCTGTATAGAAACACTTCCTGTTAGACCCAAGTCTGCCAACATTTATAACTTGCCATTTCTTTTAACTAGGGCAAGAAAAAAGAGCCTGAACAGCTCCCGGAGTATGTGTCAGTATTCTCAGATAAAATCCCCAGCACCACTGGCCATGTTATCGGCAGCAGAATGAACACGGATCTTGGCAAAACGCTGGTAAAAATGGACTACTTCCTAAACTATGGAAAAAGGAAAAAGAAGCTTGGAGAAGAACTCCAGCCTTCCTAGAATTCAAATTAAAGCAATTTGCTTTAAAGGGGAAGTATTGGTCGAAAGCTTTGCAGAAAAGAGATAGTGCTGGGGAAAAATGTGATGAGAAAAATTTTCTCTTCCAGATGCCGTTTTGCCCAATGATGGTTCAAATTATTTCTCAACAATTTTTCTTTTCTTATTTAAATAAATTTACAAGACACCAAAGCTTGGAAATGTGATCTTGGGGAATAGTGCTGGGGAAAAATGTGATGAGAAAATTTTTCTCTTCCAGATGCCGTTCTGCCCAATGATGGTTCAAATTTTTTCTCAACAATTTTCTTTTCTTACTTAAATAAATTTACAACAAGACACCAAAGCTTGGAAATGTGATCTTGGGGAGATGAACATGGATCATATCTGAGCTAGTACTCTTGGAAATGTGATCTTGGGGAGATGAACGTGGATCATATCTGAGCTAGTACTGTACTTTTTTAAAGGCAAAATAAGATACAGATCTGCATGGGCTGATTCATATGTGTTTCTAGATGGAAATTTATAGGCAATTGTGATAATTTAAATAGAAGTAGAAGATCATGACCAAGTGACCTGCTGTGGCTATGGTTCATTCTGTTATCCAGGTGCTAACCATTCAAGGGCAACTTCAAACCCTTCTCTTTGCTTTCCCCTTCTTATGAGTCCTGGACTCAGACTTGGCAGCCTTTCAAACAGAGGGACATGCCCTCCCACCTTATGCCCCTTCCAATAAAAGCTTTTTAGCAAATAGCATCCAGAATATAACAGAGCTGCACAAGATTGTGTTTGCTTTCCCCTTCTTATGAGTCCTGGACTCAGACTTGGCAGCCTTTCAAACAGAGGGACATGCCCTCCCACCTTATGCCCCTTCCAATAAAAGCTTTTTAGCAAATAGCATCCAGAATATAACACAGCCGCACAAGATTGTGCTAGGCAATGAAGTCTAGTGCAGAGTTCAGAAATAACACATCCCGTGGTGTGTCATATTAATGTTAACACTGCTAGTTCTGCATCAAACAGGGAGGCAAGTAAACTGGTGCATCTAATCTTTCAAAAGGAGCATTTATATGTCCCTTTCAAAATGTTACCATTAAAAGATTAGATGCATCGGTTTGCTTCTCCTTTTGTTAAGCATAAAAATGTGGATTGAACACCTGCACATGCAGTCTAAACTAAGTGTTACTTCTAATTTGTGGTCCTGAATTTTTGAATTAACTGTTTCTTTGATATCCAGATCTGGGCTAAATTTCACCACTCAGTCCTGTCTTTCTCATGGCTATTGTTATATTATTGGGTTCATTTCATTCAATGGGCACAAGAGAGCTTTCCAAATGATAGAGGGGCCTGTTAAGGGACATGAAATTTAATGGTTTGTGCAGATCAGGCTTTCTGTAGAGAAGCAATTTCATTCAAAGTTCTTTTCACTCCAGATCTGACCTTGTGTTCCATGAACCATTGTAGGGAAACCGAATTCAACCAGGCCTTGCTGGGGGTCTGATGCTTGCTAGCAAGGAGGCTGGCTGGTGACTTTGGAGCAGATTTAGTTGCCACATGTTACCAAAGAAGCCTATACCAATTCAGCAGAAGAGTGTTTAGGGAAATAGAAAGCTAGCCATTGTTCAGGGAGAGAGGGACATTTGTCCCACACATTAAGACTCTAATACTGTAGCTGCTCCCATATTTTTCCACCCATGTAGGTGTTTCCAGATCCAAACATTCCTGGTCCAACCATTCTGCCACAAGTCATATAACTGGGGTTGCAGGGTAGTGCTCACAGCCGTCTATTTGGAAGGACCTTATCTCGACAAGCATCATAAAAGCTTGGCTCTTTCAGCAGGCCTTCCCTCCTGTCAATACTTTATTTTTACTATAATTTTCTGTTTTTCCATCTTGAACACTACTAACCATTACTAATTACTATTGTATATAATTGTTTTTAACTGTTTTAGCTTATAATGTTTGATGGAATCCGCCCAGAGTAGACTTTGTCTAAAAGGGCGGGAGAGAAAAATCTAATAAATAAATAAATCCTAAACCCCAGAATAGTCCTTTACCCTGCATGGCTTAGCTTTCCTTCAAAGAACTCCACCCTTTTTTTGCACACAGTGACCCACAAAATCATGCCCCAAAAATCTGATGAGGCCAAACTACAGAAAGGCATTTCCTTTTGCTTTGGCAAATCTTCATGGTGATTTTGCTGGAGACAGTAAATTAAACATGGGATAGAACTCTCAGTGCTCTTTGGTGCTAGAACTGAGTCTTAAGGCTGTGCTGAAAATCTGATTAGCAAATGGCATTAAGATACCGACCTGCTGGCCAGAAAAGACCAAAAGGCTGAGATCCTTTTATTCAGAGCTGGGGAAAATTAAGATTCGTCAAATAATTCCATTCAATCTGGATTCTGCCAGAATGCAACTAGAAAACTCATCACTTCTGCGAGTCTTTTTCAGCATCCACCTTTAGATATCAATCTTCCTTATTCCACATCTGGATAGAAAGCTAATCTTACAGATGCAAGACAAGTATAATTACTGGCCACTTTACACATTTCCTAGTCTATTTTCAGTGTGGAGAGAACCCGTTTTTACTTGAATAGTAAATGTGAAATAAACTTAGAGCTGCTGAACTGAGATACCCACTTTGGCACAAAGAGCTGTGTTGTTTTTTTCAAAACCACAATATTGATATTTTCAACCACCATGTTATGTAATGTCCTGCAATAAAGTACATTTATGTTCAGAATACGTTGGGAAACATGGAAACTATTTAAAATAAAATTGAGCATTCTTTTCATTCTGTAATATGGTACAGTGTATATCCCTCTTTCCAGCTTCATGTATCAGCTTTAAACTGGAGTGTGATAGACTGAATTGGTCCTCTGAACAGAGTACTCCTTGAAATAAGAGACTGCTGTTTACAATGTAGGACACCTCACTACCTCACTTTGGAAGGACCCTGACAGTAGCTGTCCAAGATCTCACACAAATGCCTTTTGCAGGCTTGAGAAGCCCTAGTATTATTCAAGATCTTTTTCACAGGAGTTACCAAGGACAGTACTTGGGTCCTTGGGCACTCAACACTTGAGTCCCTCCATATGATGGATCCATCCCTTGACCCCAGCACAGATTCCAGAAGTTTGATTGCGGGCTAAACTGTTGCTAGTCTTCTTCTGGATTAGCAAGTGTGATGGGATGGCACTCTGAGGACAGGATGAAACTAGTGCTTTAGTTGTATGTTTGCATGACTCCAGAGATGGTAAAATTGTTCTTTGTTTCATACTATTTAAAGCTTCAGATTGTCACAGCTATTCATTTCTATGTATTAAAATGAAAGAAGATAGAAAGGAATGTCTATAAACTTACCATTACATTACCACCAGTACTCTGCCCTTTTCACTATGCACCTCTCTACCGGGCAAGAAATGATCTGATTCAAAAATATGGAATTATTAACAACCTCCAGATGGCACTCAAGGCTAACTTGTAAATAGTAACAATTTTAGGAAATCCTTGTGCAATAACCTTGTTTTTTAAACTTTACTCCACTTGCTTAATTTTTTTTTCTTCCATAAAAGGAATCAATATTGAAAGTGTTCAGGATTCCAGTTCAGCTTTATCCTTGCTAGTCTAGAAGCAATCAATTGAAACAATAGACCTAATCACTTTTGACAATAAGACACCATTTATAATTTATGTCCAGTGACTGTGTGCCAAGGATGGACGAGTAAAACCACCCTGCAAGGCATCCATATTGCAGAGGGTAGGACTGTGAGGGTTAGGCCAGCCCTACAAAGTATCCCACTGTTGTTAATGTCCATTTTGGTGGAGGGAAGAGGAGGGCTGTAGTAACCCACAACAATCCCTCAGCATAAGCCAGTGTTCCTGCTCAATCTGTTGGTTTGCTGTTTGTTTTTTTGAATGCAGTCAGGCACAGTGGCTGTGAAGCTAAGTGCGGCTGCCATCGCCGCCTGATTTATGAAGGGCTAGATGGAGGTGTAATGTATATAACGCACATTTTTAGGATAGAAACAGTGTCCACAATTAGCTAGCAAAAACTTTTCGTAACATGGAAACACAAAACGTAAAAACAGTGCCTACCTGACAGGTTGCCAATACTTTTTTGGTCTTTGTCTTCACATATCAGGATGTTGAGTCATGGCAACTGGACTTCTTTCTTGTCAGGTTGAAATATTTCACAACTCATCCAAGCAGCTTCTTTGGTGGGTAGGAGACACACACACACACACCCCATATATACTCCCCATTGGTTTCATTTCCCTCTGGTCTGAATAGGCTCATTAGATGGACAAAGGATGGGGGGGTGAGGGATAATCCCACCTCTGAAGTCCTTCTCCACCCATTGTCATGGGTCACTAACAGTATTCCTGGTGGTTGTGGTCCTGATCTTTCTGGGGATGGATGAAAGGGCAGCATGGTAAACAGGAGAGAGTTTATATCTAAGGCCTCCACCCCTGTTGAGTGAGGCATTTTCTATATGCACATGTATGTCCTCCCTGACCCCTCTCTCAAACCAAAATGAGTACATCTTGGTCATCAAATGAGGGTCTTTTATCGTTCAAACGAAGGACCACTGCGGATTGTGGCCCTGAGCCATTCCGCCTCCTGTGCTGGGCCATTCTCCTGTTTAGTGGCTATTTGGTGTCTCCAATGTAGAGCTCCGAACACTCCTCTTGGCATTGGACCACATACACTATATTGCTCCTGTTGTGTTTTGGCATCCAGTCTTTTTGGTGGACGAGTCTCTACCTTAGTGTGTTTGAAGTGCACGGGTATGTGGTGTTTACCTCAAAAATCTTTTTGAGTTTTTCAGACAAACCCGCCATGTAAGGAATGACCAGGTTCTTCTGTCGGCTCTGGGTCTCAGACTGCTCCACTGTCCTCCTGGGTCGGAACATTGCCTTGTTAAAGGGCCATTCGGGATATCCACAAGCTAAAGCCTGTCCTCAGGCTTTAGGGCTGTACTCAGATGTCCATCATCCTTTTCTTGAAGAACCTGGTCATTCCTTACGTGGT